TATCATATTTCATCTCTAGCAATGCTGCCAGGTGTGTTTAACTTTATTTTCTCACCTCACAGGACCTTAAAAAAAATAAAAGATTTGTTTTTAAAAAGGTTTTTTTCTATTTTCAAAATGCCGTCTGGAGTTCTAAACTTACATGATTACTTACAAAACTTTAATGTTTGTGGTTTTTTTATCAAGTAGATGGGGTTTCTACGGGTCAGATCTAAAAGCAGGATTTACGTAATGTCCCAGATTTTAGGCTTTATTTTGAGATGCCCAATTGTCCCCTTTCACAGACAATGAGTCCACGTGCTCAGGCTTTTGGTTTCCAGGGCCAAGTGAAAAAGTTCTTACTTGTATTCCCCACCTCAAAAGACTGATTTCCCTTTGTAGTTGACTGTAGAACCTGTAGTTAATCTATTGAGACTTGCAAATATCATCACTGGTTTTTGAGCCAATTGGCAGGCCTAAGTGCAGGGCGCAGGGAGGTAAACACAGGAAACAGAAGAAAGTTGCAGTGGAGTCAGATACTACTTGGATGAAATTGGTTTTGCTTACAAAGAAAGCACAAAGTTTTTTTTTCCTGGATACTTGTAGCAAAAAGTTTATTTACAGTATTTTTTGCAGGCAGCAATTAGCCCCAGGTGTCCCTGGTGTCCTCTGAGGAAGGTGTTCTCGGTGCTTTTCTTGGCTGAACATGTGTATTTGTTTATATCCTGCTTCATTTCCATCTCCAACCTTGTCTTCCCAGTATATGGGATGTTTTCCAGCCTGGTGCCTGATCCTCTCCCCTGCATGCCCAGGTTTCTTTCCCATGCAGATGAGGATATGGCAGGGGACGCTGAAAATCCAGATGTTGCCCTGACAGGGAGTCGGGATGCAGCTGGATCTTTCGTGCAGCTCCAAGCGTTGGGGAGTGGCTCAAACCTGCCATTTGAGATGGAGCTGCCGGGAATGGGAATTATCCAATCTGGCTTACGTCTACCAAAGCTTTGCAGGAGTGAGTTCTTATGCGTTGTTCCTGTGGAATTTGCAGAGCTAACTGCAGTGATTATGAGAGCCCAGCTGTGGAGAGGAATGCAATCCTTTTCTTAAGAAGCATTACGGATGGAAACGTCCCAGAACACGTTTCGGGTAGGTCAATACTATTTGGAGGTTAGTTCTGAATGGTAGCAAGGTGTCTGTGGATTAGATAAATCAAGCAAGTCTTGCCCATAAAACAAGTTTCCTTGTTTGAAAATAAATATTCCGGGACACAGATCATCCAAGGTACTTAGATATCTGCTTCCTATCTACTAAAGGGGGCTGGGTGTCTTCACAGACTGTGGACAATCAACCCCGAGCTGCTGGATCTGTTCAGCAATCTCACCTAATGCTGTGCAGAAGGTTCCCAGCCTCCAAGTACAGACACTGGATCCACTTATAGGTTGCTCCCGAGGCAGTGCAGTTTTCAGCCTGGTGTGGTGGTGTGAGATCTGTTATTTCTGGTTTATGGTCCTACAACGGGCTGTCAGCGATTCCTAATGCAGAGGGCAAACATCCCACCTCCAGCTGTGCAGATGGCTGCAGAGCAGACAGTATATAGCTGTGAATTATTGTCATTGGGGAAATAGATCTGTGTGTCACAGGTTTGGTGTTTCTATAGAACTGTGTACGATGTCTTACAGCAGTCAAAAAGGTGTCTAGAGTTTTAGGATGCATTTACAGAGGGCAAACATCCCACCTCCAGCTGTGCAGATGGCTGCAGAGCAGACAGTATATAGCTGTGAATTATTGTCATTGGGGAAATAGATCTGTGTGTCACAGGTTTGGTGTTTCTATAGAACTGTGTACGATGTCTTACAGCAGTCAAAAAGGTGTCTAGAATTTTAGGATGCATTTAGAAAGGAATTATGGGGAAAAATAAAAAAAAAATAGGAGAAAATTGTATTGCTTTCAACGTGTCGTGTTGAAAGCAACCAAATGCTTGTAGTTTTACAGTGTGTGATTAAAGGTAGACTTCATTGTCACAAGAGGCTGACCAGACCAAAAGTAGATGGGTTTGAAGAAAATGCATTGTAAGTCCTGCAGATACGCAGCTGTCACGGTACAGAGTTTGCACTTGAACTCTTGCTAAGCATTAGATCTGACTAAAGAAAATCAGCTTATTCCTTTTGTGATTTCCAAATTGCACTTAGATTCTCAGCAACTCTCCCAGATTCTTCCAGATTCTTCCACACATAGTGTCTTCCCCTCTAGAAATCCACAGAAATTCTGAAGTCATCTATGCACTGACTGGAACTAGTAGTTACTATTAAAAATAATTAACTGCAGGTAATATTAAAATGCATTTTGACGACAGTTTTCAACAATGGAGATCTCAGGCTTATTTTTGTAAGTGCCAAAATTCTTGTTTCACTTTTGCATACAGAAACAAAATGCCTATTTGCTGACCCAGAAGTTTCCATGGCAGTCTGTATAATTTCCAAAGGACCCATTTGCTGTGGAGTCTCTCCTGATGTCCTGTTATAAACAGGAATAAGTGCACCGCTTGGAACAAAGCTGCACTACCAAGCCAGAGCTATGTGCAATTTTCCTGGGGTTTTCCCATATTATGTGATAAGAATATAAGAAGTGCAGTCATTTCCAGAACGGGAAGCAATCCATAAACAAAACAATTAAAGCATGGATAATGCATCTGTCACCTGATACGTTCTGGGGAGTTCATTCATGTTAGTCAATATTGAGCAGAGCCAGAGGAGCGGAGGCCAGCAAACCAGTGTTTGTGTTCCATTTGCCTAAGGAAGAGTTGAAAGTATTTTTCAGGGACTTTCCAGTATTTCTTTCAATGACTTCCTCTATGGTTTGCAGTGTGTATACGTTAGAGAGAAATAGGCTTTTGGTATTGTAAGAAGAATGACACTGAAATTCGAGGGAACAAATTACAGTGTGTGATTGTAAAGGCTCCCAACACAAGAGCAGAACCAGAGGAACCAAGCGTGGGAGAGGGAGTTTGAGGATAAGGAAATGACACGAGGTTGTTGCTTGACTGGTAGGCTGGTGCTACTGTCCTCTTGCCCCCAGACTGAAATTGTTGGTGAGGGAAGGAAGAGAAAGTTGTTTGGAAGGAGGATGAAGTAAGGGACCAAGAAAACAGCTGAGGACAGAAAGGACCTGCAAACACCTCTACTGCGTTTCTTTGCAAGGAGGGCAGTGGACAACTGAAGTCTCAGGGTCCTTCCTTTCGTTGTGGTGCAAATGTCCTGACTCTTACCACCTGGTCACCTTTCTGGTGTGTTACACAGAGGTGTGTGCATGCCCACACACACACAAACAGCTGAGGACAGAAAGGACCTGCAAACACCTCTATTGCGTTTCTTTGCAAGGAGGGAAGTGGACAACTGAAATCTCGGGGTCCTTCCTTTCATTGTGGTGCAAATGTCCTGACTCTTACCACCTGGTCACCTTTCCTGTGTGTTACACAGACGTGTGCATGCCCACACACACACGTGCACAAAGACACTTACTAAACAGTCTACGTGGTTTCAAAGGGTGCGGTTTTCTCCTATGGCTTCTGCAGGGCCTTATAACTGGAGGGCCTCAGTTTAGATGTGGTGTTGGGGGATATGGTGTAGGGGAGAACTTCAGAGTAGGGTAGATGGTTGGACTCGATGATCCCAAGGGTCTCTTCCAACCTAGATGATTCTGTGATTCTGTGATTCTGTGAAGGGTGCAGTTTTCTCCTATGGCTTCTGCAGGGCCTTATAACTGGAGGGCCTCGGGGCACAGGGTTTGGAGTTCAGATGGCTGAACGCCTCAGACTGATGCCAAAATAATATGGGTTGAGGAGAGGACTGACATCAGTCTTACTGCGAAGGGTCTTCAGGAGGAAGCAAGCCAAAGACAGCTCTTAATTTATGTTCCCAAAGTTACCTGTCAAAAACCCTTCTGCTGTTTTAAGACTATCTAGATCGTAAGTAAAAAAATAATAAGTGTACGGTTTTCTCCTATGGCTTCTGCAGGGCCTTATAACTGGAGGGCCTCAGGGCACAAGGTTTGGAGTTCAGATGGCTGAACGCCTCAGACTGATGCCAAAATAATATGGGTTGAGGAGAGGACTGACATCAGTCTTACTGCGAAGGGTCTTCAGGAGGAAGCAAGCCAAAGACAGCTCTTAATTTATGTTCCCAAAGTTACCTGTCAAAAACCCTTCTGCTGTTTTAAGACTATCTAGATCGTAAGTAAAAAAATAATAAGTGTACATGCCTCAAATAAACAGGTATGCACTAGTTTAAAGCACTAGGTTAAAGCAATAGGCTTTGAGCCTGTGCCACCCTTCTGCTGTTTTAAGACTATCTAGATCATAGGTAAAAAAATAGTAAGTGTGCATGCCTCAAATAAACAGGTATGCACTAGTTTAAAGCACTAGTTTAAAGCAATAAGCTTTGAGCCTGTGCCCTCTCTCTCTCTTATTCTCATTTCCTTTCCTGAAGATGCCCAACACATCGATGCCTTTCATTTGGCCACTTTTGCAGTTTAGCTGATGATTTCAGAGAACGAAAGAGCATGGAATTTTTATACTATTTTCTTACAAACAGCACTGGGACTCCTGTGGGAAGATGCATTCCACCCGTGAGAGCGGTGCTCTCCAACAGCCCCCGTGGGACAGGGGATGAGGTGATAACAGTATGAAGCATCCCAGATTTCCAGCTGTGGGGCTGATATGGACACTGGCTGTGTTTAGGCATCAGAGGGTAAGACTCACTTGTCTGCAAGGTACTTAAATCAGGAGCCTTGCCCCACAGCCCACCAGTCCCCAGGGACTGGGAATAACCTGAGATGAGGAGAGAGAGCATTTTACCCTGTCCTAAGAGTTTGTTACTGTGTTCAGTGCTGTCAGGTTACCATAGCAGGGTGAAAAAGGGTACCAGGCACTAAAAATTCTCATTTCAGTTCCAGAAATCAGCCTGAGTTGGAAAAATGAAGCAGACTCTTCCCAAGTAAAGCAAATGAAAATGTAAAACAGGAGATAACAAACGGGGTGTTTTTTTTTTTAAGAAAACATTTATTAATACATTGTTAGGAATAATTACACACTCAGAAGCAAATTCTGTATATGTAAGATGCAGTTTTTTCCGTTAGCTGATTGAGTAGCTAATTAGACATAGAACCAATTCCTTGTACAGAGCAATGAGATTGTGAATATTTCTTAAGAAGTTAACAGTAGGGATGGAAAATCCAGTAGAAATTAAATAAATTATCATCGTTTTATCTCTTACATAGAAACAACTCAATAAATACATTTATAAATATCATGGAAATCACAGTAGATAAGTACCAAACCCACTGTCTTACAGATTCTGCAGGTTAGATTTTTAAAGCCAGAACTGACAGTTCCCAGCATAGCCACAGGCTGGCTGGGGTGCAGGAAACTCTTGTTGACACAACATACAAGTGCACTCCAAGGGAGCAGGAGGAATTACCAGTTTGCTGGTCTAATAGCAAAATAGTAAGGCTTAGTGTAAATAATCTGTGCGGTAAGTGCATTGCACTTAACTGGTTGTGTTTGGCTGAAACAGCTGCCAAAGGTTCTTCATTTCCTTTAGCAAACCTGCTCAGCATCTTCAGTGTCAGTGACCAGCGTGTCCCACGGACAGCACTGGCCACTTTGAAAGACTTTCTTAAATAGATGCACTTAAATAAATAAATAAACGAACGAATAAATAAATTAAATACGCCGTAATTAACATAATAACAGCGATGCAGGAGGTGGAAGATGGTACGCTGCCCGAATGATGCTTTTCCCAGATGTTTTCTCAACGGAGGAGCAGGAGCAGTTCCCAGATTCTTTCTGTGCTGGTGTCTCTTAGAGCGGGGAATCAGAGTTGAACTGAGCCCTGCGAAGAGGTGAGAAGAGAGGATCATTTAATGGGAGGTTCAAGAACAGTTATCATTGCTCAGCACTGCACAAACACTTAGGGATGAGCAGTCTGTTTGCAACTCTCTGTGCTTGAGGCATGTCTGTCTATATCTATAGAGGCTTGAGGCCTCTATCTTCAGGCAGAGAGAGAATAAACTTATTGTTTCAAAAGCCATTCCTGAAATCCCAGTGTGTGCATGTCTGGTGCCCAGCAAGGAGACTTCTGCAGCATGACTTTCTGCATTAGCTCCCATTAAGAAACTCATTAACTTGGAAATACGAATTCTTAACATATGCTACCATAAGTAAGGGGAAGATGAAGGGGTTTTAAGCCTCATTTTTCAAAGGGAGCCGAACACTTTTGTGTTCCTTTCGCTCCAGATGGAGTTGCCAGTACTCAAAGGTTTAGTAGAGATGTATCGGCTTGAACAGGGAATCTTACCCTGCATTAGGGTAAGAAAGACTAAGACTAATTCTATAATTAAACAACAAGTTTCCTTGGAACCTCACTGTAAAGTGTCACTAAGGAATCCTGCAAATTGGCTTTTAGGGGGAGTTTCACCACTGATGTGCCCAAATTGAAAGGGACCAGGACTTACTTGGCCAAGATTGCCTTCACAATCAGCTGTACCCAGGGAGCAGTGGGCTCCAGGCACACCTCTCTGCCGTCCTTCAGAGTAGCTCTGCAAAACAGGGAAGAGAGAAAAGTCAGGAAACTGCTGCAGGGATTTGCTTTACTCACAGAACATCATATGCATTTTTAGATTAGTTAGTGTAAATTCATCCCAACTGCTCTAGGTTAGACATTTTGTTACACGTGTTCCACAGCTGAGAAGGCTGAAACCATCCCAAAGTTGTGAGTCCGTGTGCCAGCTCTCAAGGCAGTCACACATTCCCCAAAATCTTTCTCAATACGGATGGGAACTTGGTTTGAATTTGTTTACATTAGTAAAGCTTTCTTACGCAAGGACTGAAACCTCTGCTGGTGAAAAGGTGTTTCACCAGTGTCAGGATTTCAACATTTTAGTCCCTCCTCTGTGCTATTCAACACCAGATTAGTTTCATTGTTTCCCTAAACCTGCTTCTGGGAACTTCATTTTTTTTTCTCTGCGACTGATGCAGACTGTTTTAGAGGGAGTTTTGCCTGCCTAATTCATGCAGGGTTAAAACTACTTTGTTACCTCGTGTATTAAGAGATGACCAGTCCTTGTAATTCACATTCTACCACCCAAAATATTTAATATGTCCCATGACAGATAAGCAATGATCAGTTTGGGAATACATAAGGTCATAGAGATGATGAAAAACCTGGTATATTATTTAAAACCATCTCTCTCAAAAGAATACCCAGATCCCACTCCCTTACATCACTCCTAACTCTGGGACCCCTCAGGGAGAGTAAAAGCCCCCGCAGTGGATGTTGGTGAGAAAGAGGGAGGCTCGTGCAGAGCTACTTACACGACTTCCACGTTCTTGCAATGGGGCCCGCTCTGGGTCAGCCTCACGTCCTGGATGGATTTGGGAGGGATGAACCTGGAGTGCGTGGCGATGCACTGGCACCGCAGCTCCGTCCCCATCCTGGCCAGGGCCCTGCCTGTGAGCAGAAAAGAGAGATCCTGGTTGGAGAGGCTGTCTTACCATCCCTCTGTCAGGAACAGAGCACAACTGATCTATTTTAACATCACTCACAATTAAAATACTGCATTTGTCCAAGCTGCCTAAATCCTCACAGTTCTTTTTTGTCTCAGAGGAGCTGATGCACATTTAGAAATAAATTAATGCATCTTTTTGAAATAAACCCACATATTTTGTGGTTCCTGGTACTGATGGCACTGCACACTCAGTTGCATCATTTCAGTACCTGGCTTGACAAGCTGGCAATTATACAGAAGACAGATCCCTAGATCTGGAGACTTGTCCATGCTCCTCTGTTGATATTGCTTGTTCTCTGTTCCCAGCTGTATACTGCTTGGTTGAGGCAGTATGGCCATTAAATAACAAATAAAAGATCAGAAATTATTCTTCATGTAGGAAGGGAGAGAAACACCTCGACACTGCAGAAGATCCTGTCTGTGCTGCACACACTTCGAGTCAAACATAGAAACAGAGCCAATTTCAGCTGCATCCTTAAAATTTTTCCCACAAGATGTCAGTAATTCCCAGGGCTACCTGGGAGATGCTGAAAAATCTCTCCAAAGAAACTACTTTGCTGCAACAAATGTAAAGCTGCCTTTCTGTGAGGACAAGCATCTGGGCAGATGCCTGGAGAGTATTACAGCTGGGGTGGGGGGTCTTGGGAGGGATTTACTTGCCTTGAGCCAGCGCCGCGGAGACGAGGAGAAGAGCCAGGACAGCCACGAGTTTGCCGTGCATGGTCAGAGAGGAGGTTCTGGCTGGGTTTTGAGCTGTGGCTGTGTGGAGCAGTGGTCTCTCTGTTCCCCGAGGGTTGTGGATGCTGTCTCTGGGCCATACGTCCCGCTTATATAGGGGTTTGTGCCCAGCCCCGGTGCGCTGCCGCAGCGGGCTTGCGTTACAGGAATTTCCCAGACGGGGCAAAACTGAGTCACATGACTGTTGTGAAACGCCTTCCTCGATGACGAGGAGTTATTCTGCTGTTAATGATATAAGGTATTAATTTATTAAAATACTGATAGAATAGCCATGCATTCCGATTTCTTTAGTAGGATTTTTAAAATTTTGTGCTTTTTCTAATGCCTGCCCTTATTTAGTAATAGAACTTTAGGATGGTTTCCGTTATGTTTATGCTGTAACTTTTTATTGTTTTCTTCAGGGTAATAACTGTTCTTTGTAGGGATGCCAGATTCAGACTTGAGATACTTAATTTCTTCTCTCCATTGATGGTGATAGCTTCTACTTATCTGATTTTACCTCTGTCGGGCAGTGCTGAAATCACTGAAAAGCTTTTTCACTGGGGTCAGGATTTTACCTCAGCATTATTTTGACATTAATGATTTTATTTTTGTGTTGTTTTCTTTTTTTTTTCTGCTCATGGGGCGTCTTACAAAGTAAATTCATCTCTAATACTATCTGTTATAGAGGAATTGAGGCTGCGCTATTCGAAGCTTCCTGTGGGAAGCAGATATTAAATTCTGAACGGCTGTGAAAATCTTGCCTGCATTTTTCCTGTCACACGTGTTAACGAATGCTAAACAGGAGAAGCTTTGTGTGCAAACAAAATAGCACAACCTGCTGAATGCAACTGCTTCTGTTTCCCTTGTAAGTCTAGATATTTTAAATAATTTTTTTCCATAATCTTTTTCACTGGCCATAACCCTAGCTCTTAGCAAAGGGAAAAAGCATTAAGTATCGTGGCCCTGCTATAGGCATTTCTGTCACAGAACCTTGGTGCAGGAATGCTGTGTATTTTTGTGGCTGGTAAAAAGATAACTTTGTGAGGGAGACAGTTTCAAGGGAAGACTTGGGCTCAAATGCTTATGTGAAGATTTGATTTTGTAACCCGTGTGGAATGACAGTGATCAAGAGAAGCCACTCTGTTTCGGTGCCATTAAACCGTTGTCCTTTTGACCACGATGACTCCTGCTGCTTGTCATCTCCAGCCTCAATGCTTCATGTTTCTGTGGTCTGTGCATTTATAGAGGAGCTTTGTCCCTACTCTGAGGAGTTTGTAAAACTCAATTATCTTAACCTGTAAAGCATTGTGTTATTTATAGAATTAATTTAATAGTTTGCCCATACTTTATTATGGCTTACTGTGTATCATTTGTCATTAACTTACTTGATGAAAGGAACTTTGTGATGAAAATTCATCTGTTTCCCATCACTGTTAGCTGGCCCAAGAAAAGATGCCACCCAGTTTGTCTCTCCTGTCTCTTACTGGGCGTTGAGTCAACAAAAGATACTGATTCTGACTCCTCATGGTGCTTCTCCTTAGCTGTGTGTCTTAGAGAGCTTTAGTGAAAAACACATTTAGTTCTCTGAAGGCATGAAAAAGGAGAGGATTTTGCCAGGTACTGAAGGGTGTGTTTTCCTGTTGTTGTATATGTTTTGTTAAATTAGCAGAGTGGTTTCACTGGTGTCGGACTGTAGATGTTGCAGCTTCAACCAATTTACTTGGAATGAGGTTTCGCTGATTCTTTTCTTTTGGGTTCCCTCTCTTTCTCTCTGTGCCTTTACGTTTGTATGCGCACACACAGGGCAATTAAAATGATGCTAGGGATCCCACTCTTCTTAATTACTATTTGCAGCTTTATTATCTAATTTTGGTGTGCGCTGAAATGTCATTAGTATCTGAGACAAAAAAAAAAAGGAAATTCCCCCTCAAATCCCCAAGTAAAGCCACTGCCTCCTTGTCCTCCTTCCCACTAGACTCAGCTATTTCCTGCCCGTGGCAGTAACGGATCTGCAGAAATCCCCGGGTCAAAAGTGAAGCCTGGTGCTTACCCCGCCTGGGTGATTAACCCTGCCCCGGGGCCAAGAGCAAGCGTCTGCCTAAAGGAGCAGGATGTTTGCAGTGAAATCAAAATCCACTACATTTTCCGAGAGCTGGAGCATCTCCTCTGCCTCCACTTGTTCCCTGATGTGCTGCGGTTTCACCGGGACTGCGTGGAGGGGGTGTGATGTGGATGATGGTGGCATGAAAAGGTTGAGACGTGAGATCCAGCCCAAAGGCCGGGCACTCCTAACCCCTGTTCCTGGGAGTGCCGCGCTTCGCCCAAGTTCTTCCACGTCCCTTCCACGCTTTGCCCGGGATCTCGTCCCAGCCCCTGCCGATGGCAACTCGGAGGCCATTATCTGAGTCTGGCAGCGCGTGTTTCCCCGCCAGCCCTCAGGGATGACTTGTGCAAATGGAATTGCGCTCCTTTTGAAGGGTAACGTCACCGCGCGAGCTGATACCGCCGCGAGCGGAGACCTTCCACGCTGAAGCCAGTTAAAAACATGCTCCTACCCAACAAACCAACAGTTATGCAATACTCTGAGGGCTGAAAAACTGCTGAAAAGGGGAAGGAAATCCCACCCCTGCCCTTGTTTTAAGGCAGGGTATGGGATGTGTTCTCCGTGCCGCAGGATAGAAACTAGTGGGTGGGTTTTTTTTTCATGATTCATTGCCCTGTCTAACAAGGGCAGAGAGGGATCAAAGAAGTCAAAAGGAATCTTGACTGGGATCATTTAGATCAAAGAAGAAGTCAAAAGGGATCTTGACAGGGATCGTTTTGAGTCTTTGCATGTAGCAAAGGACACCCACCCTCAAGGGACACGGCAAGGGGGATTCATGTGTACTCTGGGGAACAAGACCATCATGAGTCTTTACACATAGCAAAGGACACCCACACTCAAGGGACACAGTGAGGGGGATTCATGTGTACTCTGGGGACCAAGACCATCATGAGGGATGGGGGAGAGCTGGGCTCCAGTCCCTTACTGGTTTCAGTTGCCCCAATTGAAAGCTCCAGCCTCTGGGCTGACAAAGTTACTTTCTCTAAGAAAATTAAGAAACCATCTTGTTTTAGGCAAATTCAAACCTCTCACTTGAGAAGTTGTGCACGCAGGACCCCAACAGCCCAGGAGACAAAGCCTTGGCTGGAGGGAGGGTTCAGCCTGTGCAAGGTGAGCTCTGTCATCTCCTGCCTCCTCTCTACCAGCTATTCTTGTTCCGCAGGGAAAAAATCCCACTCCGTCTTCTGAAACCACCTCCTTTTCCCCACAAAGGGCTTAGCATTTGCCTGACCTTCCACTCAACCCAGGGGCTGGGAAATAATGGCTGGGAAATGCGGCTGCTCCCAAACTGGGCAGAGTCCTGTGCAAACACGGGTGGAATTCACGGTGAGGCAGCGCAGGGAGCAGATACTTACAAAAGCAGAATGTCTCCTAAACATCTGGGGCTTGACTTGCTCCATGAGGAAGTGGTAGCAAAGGAAGGAGAAAAGCTTGGGTCAGCTTGTGATTTTTTTTTTCAAACTTGTGTCTAAATATAGGTGGTTGTGTGTCCTTAGTCAGATCATGATAAGGGCTGGACTTTCCTGAATCCCTCTGGAATCACAAAATAGCAGTACAGCTTTATACTTGACTTACCTTTTAATTTATGGATTTATAAATATAATAAGATAAGTAGGTATTTATGTGACTCCATATTTATTTATGACGTATGTTTCATCTCTGCTTGGAAACATTCAATTCTGTTATGTAGCTTTCAGTTAAAAAGTTGTGATGGGTTAAATGAAATTTTTCACTGAATTTCACTGAATTTTTAGAGTTGGAAGGGACCATAGAGATCATCTAGTCCAACTCCCCTGCTGAAGCAGGATTGCCTATGTTTCATTTGATCCAATTCATTATGAAAAGTCATTGACAATATTAATAAAAGGCATCTAGTACTACTAGAAAACGATACAGTAATATTAATTACAATATTAATATAAAATATTAGCAAATATTAAGAAATATTCCTATTAAAAATAAATTAACTGTGTTTGGTATGAAGAGAGGAAACACTAAGTCCAAGTAGAGAACTGTTAGTGACCAGCAGCTGGGGTTTTCCCTGCCCTGGGAAGGCTGCGTTAATTGCTGCAGTTGATTTCCCTTTGATGAGTTTGGCAGGAAGCATTTTCTGACTGGGGAACTAAGATATGGAAGTAGCGGGAGGAAACACATGGTAAATTTTACGAAGTTGGTGCTGGGAACTTTGGATTAAATTTAGAAGCGGTCGTTAGACACACTGCACGTCATGCATTCGACATGTCACTTGCTGTTGTCTTAACGGCTCCTCAGGCTCCAGCCAGCCCAGCTTGGACCATGGCAACCTCCTCCTCCCACCCAGGGCTCAGAATCACAGAATGATGTGGGGTTGGGAGAGACCTCCAAAGATCATCTCCTCCAACCCCCTGCCAGAGCAGGGCCACCCACAGCAGGTCCCACAGGAACGTGTCCAGGTGGGTTTGGAATGTCTCCAGAGAAGGAGACTCCACCACCTCTCTGGGCAGCCTCTGCCAGGGCTCTGCCACCATGCAGAGCTAGTGCTCTGGCTCCCAGCATCCAGCTCCATGGGGCAGGCATGGCAGTTTTGCCTGCAATATTTTTCTTGACTGTAGAAAGAAATTAACAATAAATGCAATGGAAATTAACACATTAAACCGATGTTTAGTCTTACAAGCTCTTTTTTTATTATTTGTTTATCAGACTTGGGTTGATGGTTGGACTAGATGATCTTAAAGGTCCCTTCCAACCTAGACAATTCTATGATTCTACGATTCTAAGTAGTCTCCTGGACCCTTGAGCAGCAACATTTAACTCAATTAATATGCGAGCTGCAAATTCCTTTTGCAAAGCAAAAAATGAGAGAAAAAAAATGCAAAATATTTCCCATTATTTTAAAGTAAATAATGTGTTTTTTTCTTCAGAAATATGAGTTCTAAACTTCTTTTTGTATATATGTAAATATATATGTGTGTCTCCCTTGCTGCCATCATCTTCCTTCCTATGAGTAGAAACTACAG